CTCTTTCTACTGTCAGTGTTCAGCTCTTAAGTCCATTCGCCAGTGTTTTATTTTTTTGTTCCTTTGCTTTTCTTTCTCATGAGCGGGTCAGGATTTGACAGTGAGAAGCAGAATTGCAGCAAATCTCTCCACCCAGTGATGTCAGTGTGTGGGATGTTTTCCAGCAAAGACTGAAAAAAATTCATTAAATTCTCTTCTTTATTAAAGTCTGTAGGATTGTGTTTTGTGAAACTGTTATCATGAACACTTCCTTGCTGTCTTTATTGCCATCTAAGTGTTTAGGGTAATTTGGTAGAAAGTTCCTCTAAGATTCTTGAAACAGAATTTTGAGCAAAAGATAGTCTGGGCTAAGAACTTGCCCATGGTGAGCAATGCTGTGCGAATAGCAAAGAAAGAAGTGGATTTGTGAGGTGACATATTTCCAGTTCAAATTCTTCCACAAGGGAGTTGTTGGCCCTGTGTTACCTGATCATTTTATCTGCAGGATCAATAAATATAAAAACAAGTTTTAACTAAAACAGAAAGAATACACATAATGTGTGCCATATAAACTGGATTAGGGAAAACCAAAACTTTGGTAAATGAAGGGAATCAGGCAAACATTTTAAAAATAGACAAAACTGCGTATCATAGAAGATAAACTACTACGTAATTGTAGCCTAGAATCTTAGATTTTTTTCCTTTCTCAGGACTTGATAAGAAAGATTATCCAGCATTATTTAATATAATAAATGACTTTTCAGCAGACTCTATCTTTAATTCTAGCAGTGCTTTCCAGACTTCAGTGCATGTGCAAAGGAAATTTAGTGTTTCAAAATCCATTTAACTGTGCAATTGAGGGGCTTCTTCCTAACCTTCAATTGGAAATGATTAATCTGAGACATAATGATATGCTAAAAAGCAAATATCAAGAAAGGAATCTCATAGAATTCTATAAATGCCTGATTCCAAGTGATGAACATGCTGAAATCATATATTCATGGATCAGTATTTGGTATTACCTGTATGTGTGAAAACATGTTTTCAGAGATGAAATATATAAAATGCAATCAATTTTGATCATAGGAAACACTAATGTTGGAATGGTAAGCAAAATATTATCCCCTGCCAAAGAATTCATTTTTCTTCTAATTTTTAGGTCTGTATTACAAATAAAAGATTTATGCTATTATTATTATTGTTATTATTATTACATGTTGATTTTTGTCAATAAAAAATGTGGGAATGTGTTCTCTTCCCTGCATATAAATTACCTACATATTATCTTTAATTTTGCTGTTCGGCCCACAAAACCTAAATACTTACCTTTGGGGCCCCTTACAGAAAAATTGTGCCAGCCCCACATGGAGCACCGTCTTTGATCCACCTCCATCAGCCCTCCCCAGTCTTGTCTAACATCATTTCCCTCTTGCTCACTCTTCTCCAGCCACACTGGTCTTCCTACAGTTCATCAAAGCTCTTTCTGCTTCAGGGCTGTGACAACTGTTCTGTCTTCTCTCTGCTAACATTTATGCATCCTACCGGGCTCAGCTGAAATGTCATTTCCTTAAAGAAGCCCCCTGTGACCTACCCCCTCGCTGCCAGCTAAGGCTGGTTCACCTCTTCTAATTGCTTTTCAAATCCTTCACTGCCTTCCTAGCACGTAAGAACAATTCAAGTAGGTATTTTTTTTATGTTAATATTTGCTTAATTTTTGGCTCACCCACTGGACCATACGCTCCATGACAGCATGAAGCGCATCTATATTGTTCCCCGATATGTCCGTACTGGTGCATAATTAGCAATCCGATTTATGTGCACAGCCTGGCTATCATCATTGAAAATCTGTTGAATGAATGTTGTGACAGTCTGTGGCTGGAAACTCAACAGTGGCTCTTGTCATAGCAAATGTCAGGAATATTTCACCAGAGCAACTTGTAAGGGTAGCCACCGGCAAAGTCTTAGTGTTCGTTTTATGTATATATAATAATCACAGTGATTTATATCTACCTTTACGGGATGGCTAGTTGGTAAACAGTGAAGGAAAGAATACGTTTTAAATAAAGTATCTTCAGATTTGATTCATTTTTATAGCTGACAGTCTATATTTAGCACATTCTTATGGGCTGCTAGAAGGGCCACTGGTGTCAACAAAATAAGTTAGCTTGAAGATTAGTTAAAATCATCTTTTCCCCAGACCTTGTTCATATCAGTTGAATTTCAGAGCATCTGTAGATTAACAGACTCTCATTCTGGGGTCAGATGTATTTCAACTTTGCTAGGTATAAATATCTGTAAATTAATTATAAACACTTTTTTTTTTGATAAGGCAAATGGGATGGTTCCTGGGCTCATATAAAAGAGTGGAGTTTCACTTTCCTTAGAACTGTCTAGTTTATGGCTCTGTAAAATATCTGTGCAAGAATGTATATGTCTATATGTGTTACTGAATTAAACTCCCAGTTTAATCTACAGAAAATGGAAATTCAGTTCTACCAGAATCTTTTCCTAATGCAGGCCCATTAACACTTGCAGGACCAGTGCGCAATCCAAAGGAGGCCCATATCTCATATGTCTATATATTTAAAGTTATACCTCATGCTAAAATATGTTAAATAAAATGTGTTCTCTCCTCTGACCTTGAGAAATTTGTCTCCACATTAAAAAGACCAGGTTAAAATTAGAATTCTTAGACTCCTTGAATTTTCTTAATGGAACATGGTGGCACAGGGGAGCCATTCTCTTCCCAGCTCCTTCCTCCACTGGGGGAACTTATGCCTGTGTGCATGGACACAGAAGTTTGCATGTCCAAGAATAATAATAACATGTCTGATTTTTAACAGGTAAGGAAGACAATGAAGAGGTGGGCAAAAAGGGAGAACATGACATATATTAGCAGTAAGTAATGGTGCAGCCTGGCACTGACTCAGGTAGAGAAATGTGATATCCAAGCAAGAGATGATCGACAGTGGGTTGGACCAGAGAACTAGGGTGGGAGGTATTGCAAATGGTTAGACTCTGGATATAATTTGCAGGTAAAGCCAACAAAGTTGCTGATGGAGTCTGTGTGAGTGTGAGACAGACAGGACTTATAGTTATTTTGTCTGGGGTTTCTTACATAGGGTCTGTATTTGTTCCTAGGGCTGCCATAACAAAATTCCACAAACCAAACGGCTTAAAACAATAGAAGTTTATTATCTCACAGTTCTTGAGGCTGGAAGTCTAAAATAAGGTGTTGGGAGGGCCATATTTTCTCTGAAGGCTTTAGGGAAGAACGCTTCCTTGCTTCTTCCAGTTTCTGGTGGTTTCTAGCAATATGTGACATCTCTTCCTTTTTTTTTTTTTTTAAGATTTTTAAGTAATCTCTACACCTAATGTGGGGCCCGAACCCACAACCCCAAGATCAAGAGTCACATGCTTCACTGACTGAGCCAGCCAGGCACCCTGATACTTGACATTTCATAGCTTACAGATTCATCACTCCAGTCTCTGCCTCCATCATCATGTGGTGTTCTCCTTAGATATCTGTGTCTCTCTTCCACTTATAAGAACACCAGCATTTTGGATTTAGGACCCTTCCCTACCCCTTGCCAGTATGATTTCATCTTAACTTGATTACATATGCAAAGACCCAATTTGCATTCCCAAGGATATATTCACAGGGTTAGGACTTGAACAAATCTTTTTAGGGGACACAGTTAAACCCACAGTATGGTCTTTAACTGGACTGCATTGACCCATGGAGTATCTGAAATCTGTGTATCTATCACGAGTTCATATTCCATCACTGTCATTAGATTTTTGAATGTGTCTGGACCTCAGCAATTCAAAGATCTCATTTAATTTCCTTTTTAAGGAAGGCCAGAGCTCTAAAGAGGTTAAGTTACTTGAAGAAGCTCTTGAGCTATATCATGGTGGACTTAGTACAAGGATCACCTGACTCTTCCAGAATCATCCAGTGACTCCTTTTTTTGGTGGGTGAAGTGGAAAGAGTAATAATACAAAGAGGTGCTCTGTCACAAATAACATGCAAGAGTTTCCTCTTTCCAGCCTGCCTCTAAAGTGTTCCATATGACTTCACTTCAGGGTTGGTGTTCAGTTCTAATCCATGGTAACAAACAGTGCAGTTTTATAGAACATGGCACCACGTCTGGTATATCTTAGTGCACGGCTGATACACTGAATCACGTCAACATATATAGTTTGGAAATGTAGATGGAATCCCTCTTAAGCTCAGCCAGGCCACAGGGCAAGAGCATAAGGCATCCCTGTGCTGGTAGATGACATGAGCACATTTATTTATTTATTTATTTATTTTTGGTCAAAGGGCTTTCTAACCAGATTTCTGTCTTACATGTCTTCAGTCCCATTTTTATTCCATTTTGTTCTCTTCTGGGGCTTCCTGATAAGACTGGCTGTTGTGATGGTAACACGCCCCCTCCCCGCCTCACTGTCTGAGCTCCTACATGTTGATTCTGTCTCTCAGACACTTACTTGCAGAACAAGCTGTGTGTCTTCAGTTCCCGAGAACAGGGCTAGACCCCTGTCCTTTAGGACAGGAAAACACATCAGCATTTGGTTTCTAACAAGGGAGATAATGAAGAGAGGGATAAAAAAGGGGAACATGACATTTGTTACCAATAAGTAATGATGTCACTGAGCACTGATTGAGGTAGAGAAATGTTATATTCAGTGATTTTTCTTTCTTGATTGTGTAGTTGAAAATATGACTTTTTTTCCTCTTTCCTTTTTCTTTTTTTGGTGTTTTTCTTCCCAAATAAATGGTAGAAATTGCCTGAAAATACCTGGGAGATGGCAGAGCTATAATTCACTTTTTAAAACCACTAGCAGAGCACTGCAATTTTACTAATGTTCTTTTTTATTACAAGGGAAGAGAAGGAATGATTTTTCAAAACTAATGTGAATGCTCAAAGAAAACAACTATCTGAGACATCGTTGTTTCAATTTATTATAATTACTGATCAGAGAATTATTCCTTAATTATATTGGTTGAGTGTAACTGTCCTAGACTATCCTAAAAACACTTACATCTCCTCCTCTTTTCTATTTGCAAATTACTGTGCCTCCGACCTACTGAGAAAATCCCAAAATCATCACGAAAGCACTCTGTTGATTAGACTCCCTGCCACTAAAAACATATGTCTCTGTGCTCAGCCTCCTCCCTGCTCTGAGATCTTGGGAGGGAATGGAGCCTTTTCCTATCCAGGGCTACTCCCCTGGTAATTGGAGCCCCGCAGTCTCCTGGAGAACTTCACAGTCATCCATTCCTGGCTCTGTAGTTGTTCTGCCCCTGTTCTCTGAAGAATCTTTCTCTTTATGGTAGGAACATTTAAATCCCTACCTTCTTGTATAACACACATCCTTCTGTTTACCTCTAGCTATCTCCCTATGCTTTTCTTTCATAGACAACTTTCCTAAAAATAAAATAAAAAAAAAAAAAACCAAAAAACAAAAACCACTTTCTACTCTGTGTTTACTTTTTACATATTTATTACAGTCCTAGCATCATCTACTACATCCCCCACTATCCACTACAAATCACTTAAAATCTAAAGTCATCGGTGGTCTCTAAATAACATACAGTACATGTTTTTTTAAGTCATAATTTTACTTGATTTTTCTGCCAGATTGGACATTGATTTAAACTGTCTTTAAAACTCTCCTTCTCCTTGGTTCAGGTTCCTCATTTGGCTTCCGCTGATGCCTGGTGGAGAGGAGGTTTCTGCTGGCTGGACTTGGAAGTTTGGGTCCCCCCAGGGGTCACTGCTGACACCACCCTGCAAGAATGGAGAGAGGTGCCTCCTGATGGCCAAGGTGAGCTCTGACACCCCAGGGCGTGGGGCTGTCGCTGTCCGGATGAGAGTGTCTTTTTAACTTTTTATCTCTATCTACAGCCTTGCTCAGACTGGTCACTCCACCAGTGTGGTTGAAGGAATAAATGTGCCAATCTCTGTATTAGCTTTTAGTCACTCATAACAGTTACTACGAACTTAGTGACTTACAAACAACACAACTGTATTTTCTCCCACTTCTTTAGGTCAGAAGTCCAGGCACAGCAGGGCTGAGTGGTCCTCCCTGTTCGTGTCCTAGGGCAAAATCAAGGTTTTGTCAGGACTGCAGTCCTTGACAAGAACCCACTTCTGAGTGCATTCGAGGTCATTGGCTAAATTCAGTTTCTTGCATTTGTAGGGCTCGGGGCCCCATTTCCTTGTTGGCTATCAGTTGGGGGGCCAGTCTTTGTTCCTAGAGTCTGCTCACAATATTCTTCATGCCTTCTGCATGGCCAAGAATGGTGGGTCCCATTCTTCACATCTCTTTCACCTTCCCTTCTGCTGCATGTCTCAGATGGACTTTTCTGCCTTCCTTTACTGCTTTTGTGATTATATTGGGCAAACCTGATAGTCCAGGTTAATTTTTCTGTCTCAGGTCAGCTGATTCAGGACCTCCTTCAGAGCAGTTTCTAGATTAGTGTTTTATTGAATAAGGGGGATCTTCTGGAGATATCTTTTGAATTGTGCCTACCATAGTCTCCTTGGGCAAAAATACACGAATGCAAAGAAAAGGTCCAAGATAATATATAATTAAGGGAAAGTTATCAGCACACCAAGACAATAACTGCAATGATATTTCAATGTTTTGAGTACCCTCAATGAGTCATGTTAAATAGTAGGTATTAAAAGAAGTCAGTAAGAAAATTGTAGTTTATTTCTAGAATGTTAGCTTCACAGGAGGAAGGGTAGATCCTTTGTTTCCTACTCTGTCTTATGTGCTTGGTATGGCTCCTGGTACCTAATAGATGTTTAATAACCATTTGTTTTGGTTGGTTGACTGAGTGGTTTTCTAAAATGTGAATGTATGAAATAAAAGGAAAGAAATATAATTTCAATCAGAGAAAGAACTCTGTGAGCTAGAATGCTCTAAACCATGCCTTTGGATTTGGTTTTCAAGTTGAACTTTTATGGATGGGCATGGGCATAACCTTTTGCTTTACAATGGACCTGTTGGCACAGAGGTTTCACCTTGAGGAGAAGGATGTAAAGCTACACCCAGATGGAGGAGGGCTTTTAAGGCTGAATAAAGGTGTTCAAATCTTTCATAAGGTTAACATAAAGCCCACAAAAGGGTTTGAAGAAGGAAGCCAATGATGAAAGTATATTTATGAAAGATTAATTTGATGGCAAAGTGGAGGCAGAAGGACAATTGGAAGGGTATTGGTATCTGCTGTAACAAGCATCCCTAACATCTTAGTGGTTTAATACAGGCATGGTTTCACTCAGGTCATAATGTGATCAGATGTTTGGTAATTGGCCTCCATGTGGTGACTTGAAGATGTGGTTTGTTTTTTTCCCTGGTGCTACCGTCTTCTATAGCTTCTTGGGCATCCCTGGTGGACCCTCTGCATTAAGCTTCCCAAGGAGTGAAGTGAGGAAAGATAATGAGGTGGGACATTTGGTGGTCAGACCAGGAAATGGCATACATCACCCTGACCACATTCCATTGATAGAACAAGTCCCATGGTGTCAACCTTAGTAATAAGCAGCTGGAAATGTGGCAATCCCATGTGTCCCAATAGAAAACAAGTGGTCAGCACCTAGCCAGTCTCTGCTATGGAACTCTAAAGACTCAGACAAGTCCTGCAATAAAATGCCTATTTAACTGTGTTTGGCTTCATGCTTTTCAAACTTATTTGATTATGATTTTTATTTTTAGAACAATACCTATTGCTAATTCTCATAACTGGTGTTATGAGGTACATAATTTGGGAAAATAGTTCTAAGCATCTCTCTTAGAAACTTTTGGAGATCTGTCACCTTTTATAGAGCACTCAGCTGAAAGTAAGGACTAGGAGATCTTAGGCCTAAATAAATAAACATAGACAGTACAATTTATACTTACAGTATAGCTCCTTTTTGGATGTAATATGGTCTTATTACACTTATCCAGAGATATAAAACCTGGAGGTCTAAGAAAACAAGTTTGATACCTGTTGAATATGAGGAGCGATTATTGCTTTATTCTTAAGAGAGTTTATTGCACGAGTCAGAAGTTGTTTCTCTTAGTTTTTAGGAAAAAGTCTTCAAACCAAATATTAGAAAGAATTTAAAGAGCAAAAATCTGGCCTGCTTCTTTGAGAAGAAACCCTCAAGCAAAGTAATGTAATGTTCATTTTTCTAGAGAAGAGAGAAGGTCAGGTCAGTTCTTTTGACATAAATATACAATAATGCACATTCAGAGACCATAAAAAATGGGAATTGGAATCAGAGGAAGTAAAAAGGGCATGAGGTAAAGGATGTAGTGCTGTGAGGATTGAAACAAATGATTGATGTCTTGTTGCTCAGGCTCTGAACGTGATGGTAGGATTAAGAGAACATAAGAATAATGAAAACAAATTAAAAATAAAAGGAAAATGACAGGAAATTTCCTTTTTGATTTTGTTTTCTCAGAAATGTATGTAAGGGTTTCTGATGTTTGTGGAAGTGGAGAAAGATGATGTCTCTCATTATTTTCCAAAAGATGTCTGCCAACTTTGATACCTTTGATAATTTTCCATTCAGAAACTCTCTACTTCCTGTTACTGAACCCCAAGTTCGGCTGCCCAGCTCTCAAATTCCCAATACTCAAGAGATGAGTTTTGATTGGAAAGGAATTTGAGCTTTATTCAGGAGGCCAGCCACCTGGGGAGAAGGTAGACTCCTGTCCAAAAGCCAACTCTGTGGTTTCTGCCTGGCCCAAGGGTTTTGAAAGGGGGTGTGAGGGAGTGGTCTGTAACATTGCTTACATGCAGACTCGATGGTACCAGCTATGGACGTTATCTTCAGTGCTAGAGATTGTACGAGGGGGTCTTGTTCCTCTTTCCTGATGTTCAGGAGGACTTTGTTCTTTCTGCAAAAGAATGCAAGGTCTACAGATACACAAAAGAAGGTTACTCAGCTGTTTCAAATGTAGTCAGACCTTTTGGGGAAGTTTGGTCCTTTACTCCTCAAGGCTAGTGGCCTGCAAATCTCAAAGAAAGTAACTTAGTTCTGCTACAGATCAGCAAGCAAGGAGTGTATAAACTTGAAGCAAGATAACCCTTAAGACCAGTTGGAGTGCTGTTACATTCCAACCCTAAATAATTCACTATTCTGTCCATAGATTTTATGCCACTTTGAGAAGAAGTTCTGTGGAGACTCATTGAATAGTTCTGTTATGGGTCAAAATTTCTGTTATGGCCCACAATTATGAGGAAACAAAAATAAAATTTTGGCTAGGGAATGCTAATATAGACCTTGTTACATTATATAAATAAGCAAGTGCCCTTGGATTTTTTTTTTTTTTTTTTAAGGGTGGATGGTAGACTAGGCATCGGATGCTTCCAAAGTTAAATATTAGCCTCTAGTTATTGGGCAAGAGTCATTTCTAGCTATTTTTTAATTAAAAAAATATGCATATTTCTCATTGTGGCTTAAAATGGTAGCATATTGAGATCTGTGGTAATAGTAGACAAAAAGGCAATTGTTGGAGAATAAAATACGATCTAGTCTCCAGGTGAAGTTGCAGTAATAAATGATTCATGACAGCTGGAGACTCCTAGGGCAAGCTCACAACCAGCCAAGAGGGCTTATACCAATCAGCATATAGCCCAAGTTTAAGGGCAAGGGCAGGGTGTATGCATCCTATACTCTACAGCCTGTACAGGTCTAGTATTCCCAGTCCAGGGTTTTGTAGATAATAAAGTATTGGCATTTTTCATGAATCATGGATTTCTTATCCCATCAGTGTTTGTTGCCGTGACGAACTGACGCGGAAGGCAATAATGTTCACTCTGGAGGGATTTAGTGGCTTAGGTATCACAGTACCTTCCTTATTTCTATGGTGAAACCAACTCTAGAAATGATTGAGGAACTTGATTGTGGCAAGTACCCCTGGTCTTTTCCAAATGCACGTAAGTCTTGTCATTCAAAATATGGTCCTTGGACCAGCAGCATCGGCATCACCTGAGAACTTCTTAGAAATACAGAATCTCAGGCACAATATTAGATCATTCAAATTAAAGTCTGGAAATTTAACAAGATCCCCAGATAATACAACACATGGAAAATTTGAGAACTCACTATAGGTACATCCACACCCACATCCACAGTTCTGAAAGCTTGCTACCTGAGCTATGCCAAATCCACTGCAGTTTGGAGGTGAGAAAAGGAACAGCTAAGAGATCTCTGTGTTCCTTACTTTCTTGCAGACTTCATCTACCACCCACATTAAATGCCAAGACATTATTTCCCTAGAAGTCAGTACCGCGCCTTGCCCCACGGGTCACCAATAGCTTGGAGGATAACAAAAGTGTGCCCTGTGGATGAGCTTTCTGATAAGCTGGGGGCTCAGCCGTAAAACTGAGGGCGTGCTGGGTATCAGTGAAGCCTGGCCTCATTGCTTTTCTCTTTACTTTTTCTCTGGATAAACAGAGGATTGGGGTCTCTTGGGCTGTCAGTCTAACTCCTTCAGCAAGTGCCAAATAAAACAACAACAAAAAAATGTAGAAAGGGGATGGCAAAAATGAAGTGGATAACAGTCAAAGCAAATATCAGACAAAGCAAACTGAGTGGCATATATACTGCAATAAAAGGAAAGAACACTGGAGGGAAAAAATGGATTTTGCCGGTTTAAAATGTGGTGCTGCTGAACAGCAGTGCTAGTGACCTAAACTCAAAGAAAAATGGTGTTTTTCTGCTGTGGTTTCCGAGATTTAACCCTTCCTCGTTAGATAGCTATTTAAATGGAAGATGATTCTTTTTTATTTTACTCTAAATCAGCAAGTATTTTCTTACATTCTGATATTAAGTTTTATGAACCAGTTTATGTCAGGTGCAGTAGCGGGGGCGTTTCTGGAAGTTGTTTGCCAGTTGAATTGTGGCTTCTGAAGGGGCACATTATATCATAGAAAATTGTGTTTTCATCAATATTTGCTACTTCATTATCAGGAGAAATAGACTGTATCCAGGACCTCATCAATTTCACATCCTCGCACCCCACCCCCCCAGCGTCTTTATCTGGTTTCTCTTCTCTCCTCTGGCCACATCCCTTCAGCTATTCATCTGTGTCATTGTGGATAGTCCTCTGAGGACAGACTGAAGAATTCATGTTAATCTTATGTCTCACTGTCTGAATAGCACCAGTGAACTCTAAGAATAGGAATACTCTATAATGGCAAACTCAGGTTTTGTTTCAGGATCGTAAATAATCATGGGAACATTGCTATGTACGGATTCTGTGACATTAAAATTCTATAATTCCATGATTTTTTAGTTGCTTAATTCTCCAGAATTCTACTTCCCCAATGATGAAAAGGAGCAAATGTAATTTATTTTAAACTTTTTCTAATAAGATTTGTTTTCCTAGGGGGAGTGGTAGATTATTATACTTCTACCTAACAGATATATTCATTTCATCTGGGAGACCAGTAGAGATAAATGGTATTTTGGGCCATGAAACTGCCCAAGTTTAGCTTCAGAGAGACCCTTCTTTCTGCTTGGGAGGCAAGGATTATTTCCTCCACCCCCTCCCCTCTGCTCTTCTCTTTGAAAAAGCCTCACCTGTGAGATTGCAGAAATTTACAACCCAAAGGGACCCATGTCTCAAGGTTAATGCAGTCAATCCTAACATTCTTCTTGAAAAATTATCCATTTCTGTACAGGAGAACAGTTGGTGCTGGGCAGACGTCAAACATTCCTGTGGCCATAAAGCCTGCTTATTTTTTTTGTTCTCTTTTTTCCACATGAGAATAGGATTCTTACTTGAAATCATTTATCACTCTTGGCTCAGAAATACAATAAGGAATATAAAATATATAAGGATATTGCAGGAAATAAATGTTTGCTTTCCTCTTTACCTATGACACACAGAAACCACTCAAAGACAGAGGCCTAAAACTGCTGCATACATAGGGGGCAGAGAGAGAAGAGCTCACAGTCTTGCAGATCCCAGTCTCTTGATTGGAAATTCATAAAGCCATACTTCCCAGGTTTTATTATGCCCCAAATCATCTGTGAATCATGTTAAAATGCAGATTCTGATTCAGAAGTTCTGGAGAGTCTGCATTTCTACAAAGCCTCAGATGATGTCAATGCTACTGGCCAGGTGAGCACATGGTGAGTAGCCAGGCCTCAGATACAGATGGAGCAAAACTCTGTGCTTAGATAGCCATGGTAGCTTTGCTATTTCAGGTATGATCTGAAGATTAGCAGCAGTGCCCTGCTGGGCCATTTTGGAGCCTGAGGCCAAAGGAAATATGTGCTTCTATATACACTTAACAAATACCCTACCACATTTCAATCCATGTGGAAAATGTTAGTAAAATTTCTACTACTGGGGTGCCTGGGTGGTGTAGGCAGTTCAGCATCCAACTCTTGGTTTCAGCTCAGGTCATGATCTCAGGGTTGTGAGATTGAGCCCCACATTGGGCTCTGCACTCAGCGTAGAGTCTGCTTGAGACTCTGCCCCTCCTGCTCATGCTCTCTCTCTAAAACAAATCTTAAAAAACAAAAACAAAAACAAAAAAACTCTCCTCCTACAACAACAACAATGGCAACAACAATACTAAAGGATTATGATATCTAAAGCCTTGCCATGTCCAACGTGTTCCATCCAAGCCATTGTTGTCCTCAGGAGCCTGTGTGGTGGAGTCTGCAAGGAAGGATGGGTTGGAAATAACTGGTTCTGTTGCACAATAACTGTAAAGCAATTAACAGCCTTTTTTTGTTAACAATTTTTGATATATTTTAATCAGGAATATTTTTATATTCATTTTGATCTTTAAAAATATTGTGTTAGAAGATTGTCTATTTTTGGTAAGCAAGGTTTTGGGCATCTTCTTAAATTTTGTGCTTGAGGCAAGTCCTCACTTTCCCCACCCTAATCCCAACCCTGATCAGGAGCATGAGCATCACCTGGGAGCTTCTAGAAATGCAGGCTCTCCCATCCCAGAGAATGAATGAGAATCGACATTTTAACAAGACCATGGAGCGATTCATGCACACGTTGAAGTTTGATAAATGCCCTGAAGAGATCATGCTTTCAAACAGGAGTTGCTCAGTCTGTGTCTCACCTTATCCTGGAAGAAGACTTTTGGCTTAATGTTGAATTATCAGACCCAAGATTCTATGAGTTTCTAAAATGAAGATGGTCCTAAATTTCCTCTAAATTTACAAAGCTTGTACGAAGTGTATTTATACAGCAACTAGCTTTTAGAGATAGCCATGAAGTCCTGTCTACTTTTTTTTTTTTTTAACTTAAATGTGTGCAGAAATAGATTTCAACACAGACAGGTGGCTTTTACAACTAGCAACCTAGTCCCAGAAGAACCTTAAGGTAACAAGAATAGATCTCCTTTGGAGTCTCTTTCTATTTTTAATTTGTCTCATCATGAAGGATGAAGGACAACAAAAAATGCCCTGAGTTCTTTGATGCACTTTCCTTCTTTTGATTGTATCTTTGAGGAGAGCTCTCAAAGGCATCATATAAATCCATTGTCAGAACAGTCTTCCAGTGTAATGAGAATGGGAAATGACACAATTATCTTTTCTTGTATCAAGGATTGTAAGGAGAGTTTGGAAAGACATTAAATGAAGTCTGTCCTTTGGGGAACTTAAACCTGTGGTCTACCGATTATGCCGCCATGCTGTGGGAGGAAGTGAATACTTCGATTTCAAAAGAACTGCAGAGAAGTTTACAGAGGCTTTTCACCAGACAAATGGTGGGTCTAGGTTTGTGGCTGTTTAGTGAATTAAAATTTCTTTGAATGCACTATCTTTTTTATTATATTTATATGAAAAAGTATTTTTCATGATGAAATAAGCAATATATAGTTCTAGGGCGACTTTATTTAAAGGTCTCCCTTCTAGTTAAGCTTTATTTAATGTAACTCAATGGCTGGTGCACTGGTTATATGTCTCACTATGATACATTGTTTACAAGGTGAGAAGATGAAGACATAAGTTCTAGTCAGTTATTGGTCATGTCCATAGAACACAAAGTGAATAGAAATTGAGCAATTTTGTGATCAATTTGATAACCAGAGGCCACAGTCGTTCTCAGCCCGAAGCCAAATTCCCATGTGACATGCGTTTGAAAATACACAGGGACAGTTTTGTTTGTCAAAATGACTGAGGGGCACTAGGCATTTGGTACACAGGGGCCCAGGATGCTAAACATCCTCTGTGTGTGGGATAGTAACACCCAGGGAATAATTATACCATCCTGTGAAAGACAGACTCCAAGATGGCTCCATGGACCCTTTGCCTCCTGGGATTCACCGTCTTTTGTAATCCCCACCCTTTGAGTGAGAGAGTGACATATAATGTGTTTCTAATTGTAGAATACAACAAAGGTGACAAAATGTATGTGATTAGGTAAATGTGATTATGTTATAAAAGATTGTAATATCTTTCTTGCTAGAAAATCTCTCTCTCGCTTTCTCACTAGTTTTGAAGAAGCTAGCTGCCATTTTGCATGCTGCCCTACGGAGAGGGCTATGTGGCAGAAGAGTTGAGAGTGGCCTCTGGCCGACAGCCAACAAGAAACTGAGGCCCTCGGTCTGGAAGCCTACAGGAAACTGCATGCTCCTAACAATTGTGTAGGCTTATTAGAAGGGGATCCTTCCCCAGTCAAGCCCCAGGAGAGAACCCAGTCTTCACTGATACCTTGATTGCTGCCATATGAAGAATCAAGCTAGGTTGTGCCCAGATTTCTGACCCAGAGAAACTGAGAAAATAAATGTATTTTGTCTTAAGCCATTAGGTTTGTGGTAATTTGTTGATAACAAATGCAAACCTGTTTTAGTCAGTTCAGACTGCTGTCATGCATTACTATGGACTGAGTAGCTTCAATAGAAGGAATTTGTTTCTCACACTTCTGGAGGCTGGAAATACAAGACCAAGGCACCTGCAGATCTAGTGTCTGGTGAGAGCCCACTTCCTGTTTGCAGATGTCCGTCCGTCATTTCTTTGTATCCTCATGTGGTGGAGAGCAGAGACAGGGAACAGGCTGTCATGTCTCTTTTTATAAGACAACTAATCCCAGCCCTGAGGGTGCCACCCTTGTGACTTAATTATCTCCCCAAGATCTCACCTCCTAATACCATCACACTGGGGGTTAGGATGTCAATATGTGGCTTTTGGGAAGACAGAAACATTCAGTATGTAACAATGCCCAAATGTCAATAGAACCTACACTGGAAAGTACTACCTATAAAATCCTTCAATACATGTTGCCTAAATTGATTAACTTTTTAGTGACCTTTCTTAGCAGACTTGATGAATTTAAACTGATTGGATTATTGCACAGACAAATCATGTGGCATTATGAGTACTTGACGTGAAGGACTTATCTTCATCACCATGGCCCTGGTGCACAGATGAGAGCCCAGAGCAAAATAGATGCTCAGAAAGTTTGCTACATGAATGATACGTACTCAGCCTGCAAGGGAAACCATAACTCTCTCTGAGTACCACTTTCAGCCTGTATTAAAGAAGAGCACACAGGGAGTAAAAGTGAAAAACCACTGGCTTAAAAAGTGGTCATTTTTAGATTTATCCAATATCGAAATTAGGAGTCTTTGTTTGGCTGTACTTTTGTCGTTTTCAGCTGGTTATTTATCACTGCATAATCACAACCAGATTTCCCCACCTAAGGCAAGTTTCTAGTGTATATGTGCATATTTCCTTGAGGAATGTGGTAATTCTGCCCTTCATTTCAGCCTGGGACTCCTTACTCCTTAGGTGGAGGAGGGATGATGATGTGGTTTCTCTGATCCCAAGGCAGACGTTCACAGAATTTCTCTGGACTGCAGGTGAAGGTAGGGGAAGGGGAGGAAACTTGTCATTTAGGGGATCTAGGGCTAAATCAAGAGGGCAATATCTATATCCCCTTCCTTTGTCTTTTAAGGTTCAACTGAATATATGCAATGTGTCCATCTAGTGGCTCCCATATTTCTAAGCCTCCTCTGCAGCTAGGGATGGCCACATGGCCCCGTTTTAGACCGTATAAAGTGAGCACAGCTTTGGGATCACATTTTTTATAAAGAAGGTGATTACTGTCATTCTCCCTCATCCCCTTGCCGTTGGATGAGACTGGAACTGCTTCCTGGGATGCAGAGTTGGGAGCAACAGTGGGCTGGAGTGGCTCACAAGGTACATGGAGAGCCAGTTGTGCACGCTCCCTCTCTGCTTTGCATGCAGTGATGTCTTCTTGGTAGCTTGAGTATTTAGAGCATGGAAACTGGCAAATGCTACAAATCAGGAATTTGGTTTTTTTTTTTTTTTGCTTATTCTGAGAGCTAGTTTTACACTTTTACCAGCAATACCACCAGATGAAAGTGTATGTTGAGGATTGGGAAGTGGACCTTCCAGTCTGGATCTGCAGGGACAGAGCCTCCTCCTCACCTGGACTGCTTACCTCTGGAGGGCCACGCAGATGAGAAACACCCACCATTTCACCTCAGTCACCAGCTGGGGAGTCTTCCTGCAGCTGCCTAGCCTACACACTAGGGGCAGACACGGAATTCTGAGCTGGAGGCCATCTGCCTGAGTTCTGCACACTCCCTCCGTGGCCTGATCTGACCCTCTCACCACTCTGAAAGCCACTGCACTGGAGTCTGGGAGCTTCATCTTCTTCCTCCTGTATTTCTGAAAAGGAACCACTTGCAGGGTCTCAGATATAAAATATCCCTGTAGGAGCCTCTGTCACAAGGTTATGGCCTTGATCTTCCCAAACCGGCAGGTCTTTCATGTGACTTGCACATTGAAGAGTCTTCTGGAAGCTGCTTCTGATGGAGCCTATGGGGAGGACATGGCCTCATGGCTGGAATTTGCTCTGCAGTCCCATCGTGCCGGGGAGGCCCGAGGAAGCTCTCCAGGAACTCCGTCTCTCTGTTGGTTTCTGAGTGTGTTAATAAAATTTCCATTTAGCAGGACTCTCCCCAAGTTTCCTATCCCTTGAGCTGTCAGGGTAAATAACAATGCTTGGTACTTGCACCACACTATATAGACCTTTCCAAGCACTTTCCTATCTGCTGTGTAGCTTGATCCTCTGAGGCAGCAGGACTCAGTCAGTGTATCTACTGCCTTTCAGATGAACATGAGGGCCAGAGATGTTCACTGCTTTTCCAAGTTCACACTGAGCAGGAAAGAACCCACGTCTCTGAACCCTACAGCTGTACTATAGCGGTGATTGCCTGCCCTTTGAAGTCACCAGGCCTGGGGTTGGAATTTTCACCCACACCAGTTGCTTAAGGGATCCAAGTTTTAATTTCCTCATTTGTAAAATGGGACTCATAGTTCTATCTCATGGCTTATTGTGACAATCCGATAGCCCTTAGCACAGTATATTTCACAGAGGTAGCGTACAGTGGACGTTTGCCATTGTTCTCCCCTGGACCTGGTGCCAGCCAGGGGCGGGCTGTCCATTGCTGTTCTTTTTCCAGACTTCGAATCTCTATTTGATCCTGGCATTACCTCTGGATTCAGAGAATGCTAAAGAAAAAGAAGAAGGCTGGAGAAGGGGCAAGGTAGAAGAAAGGGTCCTATTCACATACTTATAAGCGACAGAGTAGAATTAGACTTGTCCAAGGGGGTCACAGTGACCTTTGGCACAAAACCCAGTTCACTTCTTCACACAGGACTTTAGCTCCCTATAGCAGGCTAATTCATCGCACTTGTTTATTTTTCCCTGGCCAAGCTCCCGGGCATCACTGTCCACCGAGGGTAGTGGCTGTGGAGCCATGCCCACACCCCTCCCCTGAACGCCTAACCTCCCCTAGAAAAGGGGCTGGCTCCTTTGATGATCTCATTTCTGAGAGATGGTTCCCAGATCATTGGAGAAACTGTGAGACCTAAAGCTGGAAAGCCCATTTAGCTTTTTAAAAGATCTACATATATTTCAAAGAGATAAAGAATTTACAATTGCAAATTTTCTGAAGAAATTGCTTTAAGAAAAGGGAGAAGGGAGGAGTTTCTTCCCTTACTTTCATTGCATTTGTTCTCATATCTGTTCATTTCAGAGAAGTAAAAAAAGAAAAAAAACAAAAAACCTCCTTCCCTGTAGAAGACTTTATTTAAAGATGACACCTGCTGACAAATCAGCCTGATTGCCTTGGTTGGGCCAACCTGTTCTCTTCCTGGAAAACACTTCTGGATGGCTGAAGAACCTGGAGATTGATGGTTCTGGAATGTGTGGATGTGGGGTTTAGGGGCATGTAAGAAGGGCCTTGGACAGAGTGAGGGAGATTTGCAGGCAAAGTAAAAAGGGCTTTGAAAGAGATTTTGTTGTTTGAGTCTACATTTTCTATTTTATAAAGTATGAGAGACAATGATCTTATAAAATTAAATATTATTATCGCAGTCTGATGGCAACTTCATGCACATGGCTGAGGGGTATCTAAGGGTCTGGCTAACTCTAAGCACCCACAAACCTACAGCATCCTCACATGCAGCCAATTGGCATAACCGAGAAAGAATGATGCCCAGCGGTGCAGCAAGGATTTACCTGGTACTCCACAATCCTCCACGGGGAAGTCTCCACTGCTCATCTTCTCTTCCCATGGAAGATGCCTCATCCTAGATAAGAAGATTTTTTTTTCCTTTAGTCTTTTGTAATAACAATGCCATCTACTTTGCTGCTTGCATGATCTACTATACTCCTAACAACAGGACTTTTTTGGAGATGAAAACACCAAGGCTCAGAAAGTTGAGTTCCTTGCTGCAGGTCACACAGCTAATGCAGAGTCAGGACAAAAATCAGAGCAAGTGGGCAGGATTCTAGGATGTGCCTAGTGGCTCTGACAATAAACATCTATTCCAACCCTGATTTAGAAGTTTGGTGAACAAGTGCTGGCCAACATTTCGGATATGATCCAACCTCAGGATTCTTAGAACTGCACGGCCAGGTTATCCATTTTACTGATTCCCAAGCCACCTACATTTAAAAAAGAAAAGATATGGAGTGGCGCCTGAGTGGCTCAGTTGTTAAGCGTTTGCCTTCGGCTCAGGCCATGATCCCGGGATCCTGGGATCAAGCCCCACATTGGGCTCCCTGCTCCGCAGGAAGCCTGCTTCTTCCTCTCCCACCCACTCCCCCTGCTTGTGTTCCCTCTCTTGCTGTGTCTCTCTCTGTCAAATAAATAAAATCTTTAAAAAAAAATGATATGGAATAGAATATAAAGTATCAGAGTAATCACATGTAGAAAGGGTAAGTACTGGTTAGTGAACTTTGATTTCAGTTATAAATGTATGAAATGAAATTGTTCTTGTGAAGGCTTTAATATACAAGGCCACAAAGCCTCGATCTCCACAACCTTTTCATTTTACAGATAGAGAGACTGAGGTCTGCAGGGAGTGAGGGGGTGGCCTGAGGTCACAAACCTAATTATCAGCAAAGCCCTGAATAGAACCGGAGGCACTTTTTGTTTTACCATGTGTACACTCTTCATTCTTTGTCCTCCTTTTCGATCCCTGTGTAATACAGCACTGGGAGCTCAAAATCTCATCTCCCGTCAGTGTTAGACAGTGGCTTAATAGGGCTTAGCTTTTCAGAACAGAAATGAGTCCTGTTTGTTTTGAAAGGAAAGCTAAACTGAACAGGCAACTGGAAGTTGAATAAAGGTCTTGCGGGATCAGGGAAAAAACAAGAAGCTTGTTTGTGAAGCTTCTTGGGGGAGCTGAGAATTGAGAACTCCAGGTGGTCTTGAGAAGCAGCTGAAATTTCCCTGCTCTACTGGGCTCTACGTGCAGGAGAAGGC